CCCCCCCCCTTCTCCCTCCCTCCCTCACACCCCCAAGCAAAAGCAAGAGGCCCAATCCCCCCTGCCGCCAAACCCTCTTTCTGGTGACATTTACTCATGTACCTTTTCTCCGAAGGAATTACTTCTTGTTCCTCCACTGTTAGTCTAGGTGCACCCGGATCTAGAGGGCACCTTTTGGTGACTATAGTTCTGTAGGCTTGCCTTTTTCTCACTTTGCTGATGTGGTCTTGCTTTCTCTTTCAATGTTTTGAAATCTAGGTACTTTGAGAAGCAGTTTGAGTTAGCATATAGAATGAAACTGCCAATGTTTCTTCACATGCGAGCAGCTGCTCAGGATTTTTGCGACATTCTTGAACGAAATAAGGATCGGTAAAATTTTTGTACTTGTAGTAAATAGCACGGATTGGCTTGTTTCTAATTTTCACTGTATAATCCCCATCAGTATGAGAATACTGGAAAGATCTAGTTAATTTTATCTAAGAACTTCTTACAGTATGTAGTGTTTAGATTTTCCATAGGCCAGCTTAAAAGTGGAAAGAATAAATAAAGTAATAAACCACATGATTTCACCACTATGTTTGACTCTTATATCTCGGTGCTTTTGGGATGAAGCCATGCCCTAATGCTCGAAGGCTCCTGCCTAAGCAGGTTCAGGAAAAAGCAGATGTAGACAGCCTTACCTTCCATGTCAGAAAATTTTATGGGGCCAGCTTATGCCGAGATTTGCTATTGAATACTGATGTAACTTAAAAGGCTGTTTTTCTGAATATCTGTCTTATGGAATTGAGGCAGTACCCTACTTTTGTTTAATTAAGTGACATTAGGCAACATTATCATGGTTAGTGTACTGCTTCGCATTCATAATTGCAGTTTTATATATGGTGTTCTGATAAACCACTTGTGTTGAACAGGTTTGTTGCTGGTGTTGCGCACTCTTTCACTGGAAGTGCTGAAGATCGTGATAAACTTCTTTCATTTAGTAATGTTTTTATAGGTGAAATCTCCAGTCTGTTATGTTCAATATTGTAATTTAGAAGCTGTCATGTTCATGTGTTTTCCATCAGATATTTGAGATTGCTAGACTCTGATTTACTTATATCTGTTCATGTCTCTCTGTTTGAACTACTCATTAGGTGTAAATGGTTGCTCTCTCAAGACAGCTGAGAACCTTGAAGTCGTAAAGGGTATACCAGTTGAGCGAATGATGATTGAAACGGATTCACCATACTGTGATATCAAGAATTCACATGCTGGGATACATTTCGTGAAATCCTCGTGGCCTTCAAAGAAAAAGGAGAGGCATGATCAAGAATGCCTTGTCAAAGGTCGCAATGAGCCTTGCTTAGTTCGGTAAGTGTCATGGCATTCTTCTTGCTTAGTGATATGATTTTTTTTTTCCCATTTTGTCTTTATAGACATCATTTCAAACAGTGGTCATGAGATTGAAACTGATTGAAAATGAAAGCTACAACATCCTTATTCCTTATATTATTCAATTTGATTTTCTTTACACGATACCAGTGTTTTGTACCCTTCCTTTCTCCATTAAATACATTTTTATATGTTATCGATTACTTGCAACACTTATTTTTTCATAGGAAAAAGTAACTTTAGAGTTGGCAAAGGATACAAACTTGGAGGAAACAGAGAAGCTAGAAGAACTATCATTGCTACACATACCCACTGAACTTCAAATTGGCAAGTGCCACTCTCCACCAAGAATAAAAAAAAGCAAAAAGAATAAAAGCAAAATAGAAAAAGAGAAAAAACCCAATGTCTTTGAAAATCTTAACCCCTTTTACTTTGTTCCGTGTTCTTCTAATTCTCTCCGAATGCTTCTGAGTGGGGGTATCAAAGGAATTACTTATATAATGTTCTTTCTGTTGTGGGATTTACCCCTATTTTATGCCTTGGTAGTTGCAATGTAGTAGAGCTTCTAGCTGCATATGATTCTCCGTATCTCGAGTTTAATCTTGATTTATTGAATAATATCAGCTCCCTTCTTCCAGGCAAGTGCTTGAAGTTGTTGCAGGCACTAAAGGCATCACTGACATAGACCAACTGGGCAAGACACTGTACCACAATACTTGCAGGTGATTATAAAGTCTTCTCTTTGTCACATCTCTATACTCGTACCGCAAGAAAGTAGATGATCTTATACAGAAAGATATGGGAAATGATGGTTCTTTTTTCTGAAGACAAAATGCCTTTCAGGGTATTCTCATTCTTCTTACTTTTGGGGCTGAGTAATGCTTTCTTATACTCCAATAGAATGTCAAAATTATGGTTCTTTTTAGCTGATTAAAACAAATTCTAAGGATTTATCATGCTAACCCAAACCCTTAGGCATCTCAGAAATTATTCATTCCTGCAGGGAGACAGCCTGGGAATTTTCTGCTTGTAGTTCCATGCCTATGCCATTTCTTTTGGGCAAAATTATGTTTTTTCTGTCACTCGTGAAGATTTGAGTTCCTTCGCTTGACCATTATTGTCTTCAGGGTTTTCTTTCCTCATGATTTGGATTCGGCAGCAGAAGCTCTTCTTGCTAGTGGCAGGGAAGCTATATGAAAGAAGTCATGAGTTCAAGAGAAAAGGCAGCACCCTGAGCAGCACTCTGCTAGTCAGAGCGTTTATCCTCTCAAAGTCATCATGTGTGGACGAGAATTGTATGCTAGAAAACAAAGGGTGGAACATTTATGTTTTTCTGTCACTCATATATTGTTTTTTGGTAATTAAATTTTTTCATTAATCACCAGTGAAAGACATTACAGCGCATTAGCTAAGCTTAAATGCAGGTTAGCCAAATCAAAAAGAGCAGTAAACAAAAATTCCCTACTTCCTATACATCTTGCTATCTACGCTTCTGTTCTAAATATTTACATGTTTAAAAGTGAAGCTGCTGTAACCACCCTTTCACAATCCCTTCAGCTCTTTGGTTGCATACACATACAATCTCATGTGCTACACTTTCATAGTCTCATGCACTCCCTTCAAATACCCTGTTGTTTCTCTCCCTTCATAAGGCATATATAGCTTCTTTATATAGCATTTTTAGCCCTCGTGCCTGCTTTGATTTGCCTTTTGTTTGTTCGATGATCCACTGTATAAATTGCACCCAAGTGTGGACTGTGGAGTGTAGCAGGTTGTATCTGTAGCCATAAAAACAATCGCCCCCACAGTTGTGCATATCCACACTCCACAAAGAGATGGTCTCTTGTCTCATTCTCCACTCGAGAAAACACACAGATGGTGCTAACATTGAGCCCCCACTTTAGCAATCTGTCCACAGTTAGCATCCTTCCATGATTGTGAATCCACATTGTAAATATGGCTTTTGGTTGAGCAATGTTTTGGTACATCAACCTTCTCCAATGTATCTTTGGATAAGGTGGTGTCATTTGTAAGTAAATCTGTTTGATCAAACTTTCCTGCCCAGTTAAAGGTTTGCTCAATTGTGTAATAATCTCCCTGGCTCCTAGAATTTTCCTTACCATCCAACTTGCACTTTGTAGTATACCCATGCTATCGACATTTTGCTCTTTGATGTGATACACATGTATCCACTTTCTGGCGTAGATCCCAGTATGTCTTTGTAATTGCTGCCTTATTCCATATCTGTAGGTTGTGTAGATTGAGTCCACTTGCTGCTTTAGGTTGACATATCTTCTCCCAGGCAACTAATGCTTTCCTAGTAATCTCATTCCTCCCTGGCCACATATAGCTCGGCAATCTTCTATTAGTTTTGTGACTTTAACTGGTAATGTGAAGATTTGGGACCAATATGATTGCATGCCAAGAATCACTGATTGCACCAGCTGAATTCTTCCGGCATATGACAGTTTTTTTGTGGTCCAAGATGTAATCTTAGACACTATTCTCCCAATAAGCGGCTTTCATTGCACCAGTCAACTTCTTTGTGTCAAGTGGAACTCCTAAATATTTAAAAGCCAATTCCTTGGCTATAGCCCAGCCGCTGTATTATTTCATCATTCTCCTTAGTGTTGATGTCTCCACAGTACACTGCACTCTTGACCATATTAGCCTTCATCCCTGATGCTTCTAAGAAAGTTACAAAACAAGCTTGCAGTTTTTAAATGGAGTTTTTGTCCCCCTGGCAAATAACAACATGTCATCAGCAAAATTAGCTGAGTAGTGCCTAGCTTCCCACATTTTGGGTGAAATTTATAAGCTTTCTCCTTCTTCAATCCGTTAAGCAGCCTACTCAGGTATACCATAGCAATAGCAAAGAGAAAAGGGGATATTGGATCCCCTTGCCTCAGGCCTCTAGCTGCATTAAAGGGTTCCATAGATTTCCCATTAAGCATAATAGAGTAATTAATTATCTTGACACAAGTCTTTACCCATCCAATAAATTTTTCAGGGAATCCCAATCCTTCCATGATTTGTTGTAAGTACACCCATTACAGAGTCGTACGCTTTTTGTATGTCAACCTTTATCATACACCTGGGAGAAATGTGCTTTATGTTGTAAGATTTGACTAGTTCATGAGCCAAAATTATGTTATCTGCTATCCTCCTCCTAGGAATGAATCCTGCATGAGCATTAGATATAGTGCAATTCATCACTTTCTGTAATCTAGCAACATCACTTTAGAAATAAGCTTAGATAGAACAGTGCAACATGCTATGGGCCTGTAGTCTTTCACTGTTGCAGGGTTAGGTATCTTTGGTATCATGGTAAAAGTGGTGCAATTTATTGCCTTGTAGAGTCTCCCTATGATGAAGAAGTCTTTAACTACTTCACATACTTCTTGCTTCACTATATTATGTGACTTCTTGAAAACCACAACATTGAATTCATCTATTCCTGGTGCTTTGTTATCTCCTATCGAGCATAACCCCTCATAAACCTCCTCATCTGTTACATTAGCACATAATGCTACTTGTTGTGAGTGTGTCAGACAGGGCCCAGTCTTCATGACTACTCTATTTACGGGAGAAATTCAAAAATAGCCAGATTTACAACTGGTCGTTCAAAAATAACCCAGTTTCAAAAGTAATCGAAATTTAGCCACTTTTCATATAAAGATAAATATGAGCGAAAACACTGTTCAAAACCCGAAAAATACGCCAGTATATTATACTGGAATTCCAGCATAAACATGCTTGAACTCCAGCATATTATACTGGAGTTCCAGGATAAGTATGTTGGAACTCCAACATAATATGATGGAGTTCCAGCATCAGTACACTAGAACTCCGGTATAATATACTGGAGTTCCAGCAAGTATAATTGTCCAGTATAATATACTGGAGTTTGGAGCACCGGTGCTCCAGTCTCCAGTATATTATACTGGAGTCAGCAAAGTATACCGGTCCAGCATAATATGCTGGAGTTCATACACAGATGCACCGAACTCCAGTATATTATGCTGGACCGTCACTGTTGCAGCAAAATAGTTGCTATTTTTCATTGACTTCGTAAATGCTGGCTATTTTTGAATGACCACTCCGAAAACTGGCTACACCGTGCTATTTTTATTCTATTTACCGCTGGCAATTGGACAGTAGCCGAGCCCATTAAAGACTTGTAAAAATACAGTATTTCTTTTTTGATATCTCCCATGCTCATTAGCTTCATCCATTACAGAGAGTTAATCTCCCATATTTGCTTGGTCTGCTGCCTATCTTACATCACAATTTAGAAGTATTTAATATGAGTCCCCAAGCTTTATCCAGTTAGCTCTATATTTTTGTTGCAAAGCACTTTCTTCAATCATAGACCACTTTTCAAGTTGTTGCAAACAGTCCCTCTCTTGTTCAGCTAAGCTATCTGAATAGTGATTGTGCATCCTCCCTTGCATCTTCCCTTTAAACTCCTCAAAGTTTAATTTTTTAAGATCTGCTTTAAGCTCCTTCATTTTAAGCCATATAGTTTTTATTTTCTCTGTTGCTTTATTTCTAGCCCATCCAGCTTCCACCAATTGTTTGAATTGAGTGTGTTCTGCCATATGTTGTAGAACCTGAATGGAACTTTTATGGCAGGGAGTTGACTAAGGATCCTTAGGTCATTTTTGATGGTCGAAAAAAATTTTAGGCGGTCCAGATCCGAGCTCCCAGTCCCACATAGAAGGAGTGGGCTATAGCACACGAAAATCTGGGAATCGGGCCGAATTCTCATTTTATGGCCTAAAAACACCAAAAATGAGGAATGGTCATGGCCGAGCGGTGACTAATGTTCCTTACTTCTTTTTTGATTGTCCTAAAAAACTTTAGGCTGCCCGGTTTGGTGGTCCGGGCCCACGTGAAAGACGTGGGTTATAGCACACGAAAATTTGGGAATCAAGCGTAATTTCAGTTTTATGGCCCTAAAATGACAAAAAATGAGGAAAGGACATATCGGGGCTGTGACTTTTGTTCCGTAGGTCGTTTTTGATAGTCCGACAAAATTTTAGGTAGTCCAGTCCACGCGGCAAGCATGGGCTATAGCACACGAAAATATGCGCATCGAGCTGAATTCTTGTTTATGGCCCTAAAATGCAAAAACAAAGAATGATTATGGCAGGACAGTGAACAATGTTTCTTAGGTCATTTTCATGGTCCAAAAAAGTTTTAGGCGGTTCGGGGACCCGGGTCCACGCGGAAGGCATCGGCTATAACACACGAAAATATGGGAATTGAGCCGAATTTCCATTTTATGGCCCTAAAACAACAAAAAAAAGAGAAACGATCATGGCGGGGCGGTGACCAATGTTCTTAGGTCGTCTTTGATGGCCCGGGAAAATTTTAGGCGGTTTAGGCCCACACTGAAGGCATGGGCTTTAGCACACAAAAATATTGGAATCAGGCCGAATTCTCATTTTATGACCCTGAAACATAAAAAAACGAGGAACGATTATGGCGGGGCAGCGACCAATGTTCCTTAGGTCATTTTTGATAGTCCAAAAAAAAATTTTAGGTTGTCCGGGTCCGGTAGTCTGGGCCCACACGGAAGGCGTATGTTATAGAACACGAAAATATGAGGATCGGGTCGAATTCTCATTTTATGGCCCTAAAACGCCAAAAAACGAGAAACGGTCTGCCATAAGAGGTGGTGACTAATGTTCCTTAGGTCATATTTGATGGTCCAAATATTTTTAAGCAGTCCCAGTCTGGGCCCACGCGGAAGGCATGGTTATAGCACCCGAATATGAGAATTGGGCCGAATTCTCATTTTATGGCCTTAAAATGCCAAAAAATAAGGAACAATCATGGCGGGGCGGTGACCAATGATCCTTATATAATTTTTTATGGTCCGAAATTTTTTTAGACGATCTTGGTCTAGGGGCTGAGCCCACACAAAAGGCGTGGGCTATATCACACAAAAATATGGGAATCAGGCCGAATTCTCGTATAATGGCCCTAAATCGCCAAAAAACGAGGAATTCATGGCGGGACAATGACAAATGTTCCTTAAATTGTTTTTGATGGTCCAGAAAATTTTTAGGCGGTCCGGATTCGAGGGCACGGGCCAGCGCCGAAAGGCGTGGGCTATAACACACAAAAATATGGGAATCAGGCTGAATTCTCGTTTTATGGCCCTAAAATACCAAAAAACGAGGAACGTTCATGGCGGAGTGCTGACCAATTTTCCTTAGGTCGTTTGTGATGGTTCAATTGGACTATTGCATACGAAAATATGGGAATGAGGTCGAATTCTCGTTTTATGGCCCTAAAAAAACAAAAAAATGAGGAACGGTCATGGAGGGCAAGTGACCAATGTTATGTCATTTTTGATGGTCCAAAATTTTTTTGGCTAGTCCAAGTCCGGGGCACGGGTCGACGCGAAAAGACTGGGCTATCATAAATGAATATATGGGAATTAGGTCGAATTCTCATTTG